CGAGAAAAAAAATCTCTTTCTCACTTGATTGTTGATAATTTTTTTTTTTTTTAAAGAATAGCCTCTTATCTTTAGATATGCAAATTGGTGTCTCCAGAAGTGTCTGTGACAAAATTGGTGTCACCTACGACCAGCTGCAGAAATGATAAATGAAGTTTTATCTTTACTTCATCTATCTGTAGCTGCATTAGAACATATTGGTTGTTATGAAAATATAGTGCCTTCATCAGGGAGTTTAATACCAGTTTTTACCTAGATAATCTGCATCACGGTTAGTGACACCATAAATTAAGGATTTGGCAGTGATGAATATGAGTTACTCTCACAGAGGACCATTATAAGAGACTGATCCTTAGACTTGCTCATCTGCCACAGCTTCATTAAAAATGTCCTGCTGACAATGGTGTGCAATTCCTTCACAATCCAAAAAAAGTTCCAGCCTTAATATATTCTTATAGGAACTGTTGAGGGATATTGAGGCTATGTAAATCCATAAAGGGTTTTTCTTAACCTACAGATATTCACTGTCAGGAAACACAAGCCCATGCTCTGTTGAGTCTGGATTGAGAATAGCCCTTTTTGGGACATTCATCTGGGAAGTGTGCCAGGTAAGTAGAAGTTTACCGCCTTATTCTGACTCGGTCAATCCTCGAGGCAAGGTTGTATTTTAGGAATGTGACATTGGCATTATGTTGTGAATTTTGGAAGAAAGGACTGTCAGTGTGGCAGCCTGTGTTTACCTCCTTTGCCCCAGAATAGTTGTCCATATAAAAATAGGTAAAATATATTTACTCCCTCCATCACCAATTTTTCGTCTGCTGTTCTGCGGGCCTCAAACACCTCCTGCAAAGAGGTAACACAACCACCAGATTTGTACAGTGGTGATATGCACAGGATCCCCTGCTTCAAAACTAGGCATTCAGGAGGACACAAAGTGGGGTGGACATTTATCTCCTATCCCTGTGCAACAGCTTGGAAGTTACCATTCCCTACATCAAAGTGAGACATTATCTTATTTTTGATACCTTTGAGCATGTATCAAGTGCCAGTTTTAGGTAGAATATGCTGAAACTGAGAAAAGTAGGCACACTTAAATTTTATTCTGGCTAGTTGGGTTAATCCCTGCAAAACAGGAGGACTGCCAACAGTTTTTCATCCAGCTAACTCAACTGAACGTATCATCACTAGTTACTTAAAATTGAATCTGTTTTTAATAGAAAAACTGCTACTGGAATATGAAACATGGAGTAACACATCATTCTTCTACAAAAGACTAAGCTTCTAAAGATAGTATTGTAGTCTGGAAACAGACTGAAAAAGGTAAAAGGTTACGTCCAACATGAAAAGTAATCTACATGTTCATCAAAGCCTAGATGATCTCAAAGCAGTAATTATTCACTGACTGTAGACAGCCTTATTTTCATATTTGCCATATGTTTCTTATTCATCACAGCAGATCATCACAGGATTACTGCAACAAATTTTTCCTTTCAGTAAAATCTTATTTTCAGGTAATCTGGACTTTTTTTTGTCCCCCTTCACAAAATCTCCTTTCATCGGCCTCCAAGCCTGACTGATAGCCAGTTACTTCAGTTTTTACATGACTATCCCTTCTTGCATTTTATACAAATGGTATCTAAAACTCCTTCTTTGTGCAAAGCATACTTTTAAAGTTCGTAACCACCAAATGTATGTGCATGAAAGCAACAACGGTTGCCTCTCTTTCATACTACAGGACAAACAGCCAGACATTAAAGGCTTTATAATTAGGGACTCTAGCAGATTGTAACAGAAGATGTATTTGCTTATTTTTGCTGTAAAGTCAATTATGAATATGCAAAATTCAAAGTGTGAGTGACCAGGCCACACTTAGCAGAAATAATAAGACTGCAGCCAATTAAAACAGAAAAAGGTTGAGTTCTCAGTTTTCTGCCCAGTGTGTTTCTGATGATGACACAACAACAGCTGTGAACTGCCAAAGTCATCCCAGAGAGGTGGCTCAGCCTAGCCCCTGCCAAAATGAAGGATTTGCCCTAAAAGCCAGATGTTCTTGCCACAATTTCCCACATAGAGGAACTGACAAAATGGTTGCTCAGCATATGTGAATACTTATATCACAGAATCATTTCTTTATAGAAATATCAGTCCCTTGAAGATGCAGTTTAAACAGACAGGAGGACAAGTAACTTTACAGCATTAAAATCCTTAAGTTTGTGCTTTTAATCTTTCTAACAGGGCTATCTGGGTATCTTTTTGTTAATTGAACACTTGAAAACTGTAATTGAAACAGTATAAACATTGTTTTTATTCTTCTTCTCATAATATAATCATTACGTGAGAAACACTAAACTAGACATTTGACTTTATTGATCTTTTCATGGACTAACGGTACAGGGAGTCATTTTCTGCCTAGGCTAATTAATTGACAGACTAATTCATTGATCAGGTTCTCCATAGCATAGTTGGTATTGACAAACACTGAATCTTTTTCCGTCAGTTGTATTAGTTTGCACCAATTACTTTGTCTGTTTCACTTAAGCAATTACGACAGCTCAAAAGCAACAATCAGATTCTCAGCTGGTGTAAATCAGGCTCTATCTACTGAAGTCAGAGAGCTGTGCTGTTTTACTCAGTTCAGTTATTTGGCCTTTAAGATTTAATAGTGAGCTTCAAAATACCCCAAACAATAACAATGATATCTGAGGCAAAAATCATCACACTAGTTGAAAACATGTTCATCATAGCAATGAACAGTAACCACGTTAAAAGCTTATGTACAGATGCATAACTTTGCTTGTAATTTACACACAGCCTTAGAACACTATCAGGTGCAAAATAAGGTACCTATAGACACAGATAATCATTCTAAGAGACATAAAACTTAGGTTCTCAATAGACTCATGTTTTCTATGCATAGGTTATCTGGAAATCAGTGCCTAGGAATATCCTGCTTCCAAACAGCCACTGCCTTCTAGATACATGGAACACAGCCATTTCATCACATGCGAAATCTGTGTATAGACACCTGTGATTTTTTTTAAATACTCAACTTGCTGAAGGATTTTAGGAGAGTATAGTGGCTTGTGCAGAGCTTTCTCACTTCTGGATCACTATTGAAAGAATGTCCAGACCTGGACAGTGCTGCTTCACCTGTTGAGTGAAGTGAGTGAACAGAGTGAGCAGAGCCAACAAAGACACAGGGTCACCAACACACTGACAGTGAAAGGAAAAGAACCACATGGAAATTAATAACTCCTGCGAATTTTCAAAATAAAGACTAAGTAAAAATAAATAAATCAAACTGATTGTTCCCAGCATAGATTTTCCTTAACAAATTATTTTTCAGGTAACCGAGGCAGTCACCAGAGTACATGGATGTTACACAAGAAGGAGAAACTGATTTTTCAGATAAAGATGAAGAAAGTTTCCTTTTAGAAACAGGCAATCTCTATCAAATTGGTCAGTGTTGAAAAATGTGAGTCAATTTAAACTTTCCATTCCTCTCTATTCTGCTCCTCTCCTAAAGTATTATGGAAAAAAATGAGCCTGTGCAGGAAGTTGTCTTTGTGCTCGGAATCTATCTCCCAACTCTGAACAATTGAGAATTCATTGAATATAGGCATTAGAGGTTAGTTCCTTTTTTAAAGCCTCCAATCAGTTTTTCTCATCTTTGCATGCAAAGATAAAAAAATCATGTACTATCCAGAGACACCAGCAATAGCAAGAAGAAGTCATCATGACTAAGAAAATTTTGCTGAGGCAGTTTCCACGTACTGATCTAAACCCAATTACTTCCTGTGCTCAACATGCTCATGGAAGCTTCCTCTTTGATGCATGGTATAGGGTAAAATAAAGTGCATGGTCTTCATTAAAATAAGTGTTACTCCCCAGCATGATTAAAAAGAAACTCTGATGTGTGCCCTGCCAATGATATTTGCCCCAAACCCATGTAGATGCCAATGTACAGGTCATTTTTGTAACGTTTTTTCTTAACAAAGGGTAACCAGAGTACCACATCACTCTGCATATGAACTCCATGGAGAAAAGAGGCACGTGCAGGCAAAAGTGGATATGAAGAGTAGAGTCACAGAAGAGTATGATCTTTCTAAAAGAACATTTTGCACCCTTCACAGATACAGAGCGAGTGATTTGCAACACAGAATTCAATGACTTGTAATTAAAATCAATAGAAAATCAACATTACAAAACCAAAACAAATTAAAGCACAAATTTAATGTCTGTTTCTCTGGCATTTGTAATGGAGGATTTGCTCTGAAACTGTACTGTAAGTAGGCTGATATATACTGGGTATGTCTTAAGAAATCTTTCTTAATGTAGTAAAATTATCTTTTTCCTTATGTGGGAAAAGAGATGATCTACCATCTTTTTGGCTGATTTGCAGCATAGAGTAACCCATACTGACTCTGATCACGTGTCAGTTTTACACAGACACTTTTACTTTATCATAGTGGTATTTATTCTTTATTAGTGTCCTAACAATTGAACAGTAAACAGCATAATTTCATCCAAGATCAGGTCCCATGGACACAATAAGCCTCAGAACTCTGCAACATTCCATTTTAAATGTTTTGGGTTTCAGAAGAGATGTAGAATATGTAAAAGCAGAATATATCTATTCTATTCTTATATTTTTCTACTTTGATATGTTATTGTCTGTAGTAGTTATATGTGCTGCAGGACAAACAAATTATTTTGAACGTCATTAAACTATATTTTTCTTATCTAAATTCATATTATCATGCCTCTAAATTCAATATTGTCAAAGCTCTAAAATGCAGAACTTCATTTGACCCGGTTGTACACTGGACAACTCTTGTTTACATGTGAGATCAAAGGCCTTCCATTTATTACCCAGTTTATTACCCCAAAATTGAGGACCTAAAACATATGAGGCTGATACAGCCTCAAGTTACCAACAACTGGGTTCTCCCATTGACTCAGATGGCCAGAATAGATAGACTGACCTTAATATTGTCAACACCAAAACAACTGACCTCCAGTTCAACTCCCTGCATTCTTCCAGAGCAATGTTCCATTGCTGTTTGTCCTGGATGCAGTAAAGTCTTGTAGAGCTCCCAGCATTTTCAAACTGGTCCATCTCACCTAGAGAATTACTGAAAATAATACCTTGACAAACAGACAGTGAAGTCTGGTTAATGTCAGATACAGCACTTTGTAAATGAGGCATCATTACCAAAGTGTTTGTGCATATTGAGTCCATCAGCTGTCATCTTTTACAAACTATTTGGAAAACTAAACAAAAAATAAATCAAACTAATAAACAAACAAAACAACCAGATATTTTTTTTTTCAGACTGAACTCATTCCACAACCGACAACTGATGGGATCCTGAGCAACCTGATCTAGAAAGTGGCATCCCTGCTCATGATGGGGGGTTTGGAACTAGATGATCTTTAATGTCCCTTCCAACACAAGCCACTGTATAGCTTAGTACCTACAAATTGCAGATTTCTATTGAGCAGATTCTTTTGTGGTTTTCATGCTATGATCTCTTACCTCCTCAGAAATATTTGCTCTTGCCCCAGGTCAGAGTTGACACAGGGCTGATGTAGGATGATTGCTCCTGTATTTCTAGGGCTTTGGCCACAAGGTCGTGTCCTGGCATGGACAGCAATGGCAACCACCTGTGGCACCACACTGGCAAAGCCACAGTCACACATGAAAACTGATCCTTGCCAGTACCTGGATTACCCTACAGCAGATACTTGGGTATACAGGATTGTGCTGCTGCTGCTGACACCAGAGAAAAATGATGTATTGTATTGGAGATACTTCTGGAGGGAAGAGCCCAACTCTGCTCCTTTGACCTCCTCCACGTCCTATGAGATGCAGGGCTGGGCTTCCACCTTTCCCCAAGCCCTCATTCTTGGAGTGACAACATTCAAGTCTGCTAGCCTTGCTGAGGAGCCTTAGGTCAGTTTTGGCTGTCACAGTGTCTGCTACTCCTCATTTAGCCCATGGCTGCAAACTGTGAGAATCTGAGATTTAGAAAATGCCCTAGAAAGGCACTGGGTGGCTTAGGTTATATCTAGTTATTCTGCTATACCGTTGTTCAGGACCTCCACAGAACTACCTCATTTGCATTCACAGCAGCAGGTTTTCCTTTTACCCCAAGCAAATCTAAGGGTCCAACTTTGTGCTCCTCACTTACAATCATGGTCATTTGAAAAGTTTTTTGCTTTTTCTTTTTTTTTTTTTTCCTTCTCTGAAAAATTTCAAACCACTAAGTTTTCTTACAAACCAATAAATTGGCTACAGAATCTGAGATGAAATTCCAACCAACCTTGTTTGTCTCTAATTCCTGTTGTTTCAGCAGAAATCACAGGTCACCAAAACCACCAAATGTTTAAATCAATTATATCTCAACATACATCAGTCCTCATGCTTCAAAACTGTGCTCAGAAGCTGCCAGAAAAGCAACATGATTTGAATGTTTTATTTACTATTACAGTTTTTACTGTGAAAGTTCATTCTGTCTTCACAGTGACAGTAAGAAACAATTACTGAAAAGGGTACACAGTTCTCTAATTTATTTTTCAATAGTTGATGAATGAAATGGGAAGTGTTGACCACACTAGGTCACATAAAAGTCATTTTGGTAGACTTCTGCTCCCTCTGACAACTAATACACTGAATAAGGATGGTCCTACACAATGTCTGTTCATGCAAAAGCTTGGTTTCTTATTATCATTGAGCACAGCAGAAATCTGCCTCCTCAGTCTGAGCAACTGTTTCTCAATCAATAATTAAGTAACTTTAAGGTCTAGATCTATACAAAGATATTGATATTTTCACTGAAAATGAATCAATATGAACAGGGTAAAGCATCTGAGTAAGCCTTTTTAATGGCAGTGTTTTGGCTGTGAGAAGTAAATTAATTGATTAAATGAATGACAAATATTGGACAACCAAAGTAAATATTTTCACACTTTCACAAACCTTTTAAGTAACTTGCTTCAATTCTTTTCTTTGTTTCTCATCCTTTTTCAACTTTGGTTTTTTATAGAATTTACAGGCCTTTCTGTGAGTATGTAATGAGAATTATGTCTTTTTTATTTTACATTAATAAGTAGAGTTCAGGTGAATTGCAGCAAAGGAAAAGAGCAAGCTGAGGCTTGTGGAAGGAAGGATATTTTCTGGGTGATAAACTGTAAGGGATCCTACTGGAAAAGCCACAGTAAGAGAAAGAAGATCTACTGGAAGACTGTAATAGAAAAATCTACTGAGATACGGGAAATGATAAGGAAGAGGAAAATACATTCCCACTTTTGGTTTGGTGGACTAGAAATAATTCTGGATAGGTCTTTTCTACCATCTTCTTAAGAGACATACTTGCAGGAAGTCCAAAGTAGTTTAACAGGACACAAGGACAAAACTTTCTAGCCACTGGGGACAGAGAAGAAGAAGGCGGCAACAGTGAAGAAGCCAAGAGAGAGAAAAGTGACTCCTTTCTTCCACTCCTGCTTTCTCATATTTTTAGCTAACACATTCAGTTCAAGGCAATCCTATTTTGACTGCTGGAAGCAGGTACAGTGTAGCCTCACCCAGGGCCATCCCCAGAATGAGAAGGGAACACACACCAAAGTTAGGGCACTGCTCTTCAGGTATTTACAAATATGTTTACTGTGCAAAGGGAGAAATGTAAATGGCTAAGTGGGACAGCAGAAATGTCATTCTTATTTGTTCAGACACCCTTCTACTGGATGAGACAGTGAGCTTCCCTAAATGCCTAGCCTTTCTTTTTCCATCCTTCTTCTCTTTTACCTTTTTATCTGTTTTATTTAAGTTCATAGTTTTTTACCATTAAACAACAATTTCTTTTATTGTAAACAACAAGGTCAAAGAAACCTTGCACTAACAATTTGTGTGTATGCAGTTATCAAGTGGCAGCTTCATTCTTGGACCATCACTTTTGTTGCTGGTCACAGAATAATTCTTTGCTGCCCTACAGCTCCTGCAAGCTATTGTTGGGATTTCAATTTTCTGAAAATATTTTTTGAGTTGGGTAGTTTTTTTATTATTACTAAATGGACAAACATTCTCATCTATAAAGGTTGAAACTCCACTTTTTCCATCCCTGCCCTTTTGGAATGGTATGTCCCCTATGGTGTGCAGCTCAGAAGTGTTCACTTATGTACTGCTAAGAAAAAAAAATCCCAAGAAATGCAAAAAATGAATGTGTGACAGAAGGGAAAATATTGAACTACAATAATTATCTCCAAACTGCACAAAGAACTTGCATGGTACAACAGACCCCACTCATAAATAAATATTAATCTTCCTTGCATTTAAAATTGAAAATTAATGTTAGAGACAGCACACAATCCACTTTTCAGTGTAAAAATGTTTTCCCCTTTCTTTTTTTATCAACATTCAGCACTTTGAAATCACATGTCCCATTTTAAGCACTTAAGATGTGACTGGTTTGGTTATTTTTTAAAAAATCTCATTTAATATTTATGCAACAAAATCTGATGATTCCTGATGTGTTTCAGTTTTAATCATAATCTAGTATTATGATTCCAGTAAAAAAGTGTGCCTTTGCAGCTGTTCAACATGGCACAGAAAATGTGCCAGAGCAGATAGATATGACTTCCCTATCCCCAAAATGGTAAAAGTTGCATTGCCTGACACTGATAAAACTTTGTTATTCTTAGAGCACAACCTGTGAACTAATGAACCAACATTTACAGCTCCCCAGACTCGCTGGAATATTGTTTCACAGACATCCAGATCTTCAAGAACAGCAGGAAAGAAAATAAAAATCAAAGCAGAAAGCAGAGGGAGAAAATGTAGATGCAACATGAGATATTACTTCTTAATCTGGGATGGGGAAATTTTGTCTTGCACAAGGTCTGTTCCCACCCTATGCACGTACCTAGATAGTACAAGTGTGAAACCTTTTCTACCCCCTTCCTAACAGAGCCCCAGCCTTCCCTGCAGCGCTGAATTCAGAAAAGACGGATGTTGAGTGAAGCTTAGGTTCCCCTGCATTTTGACTTTCCTAGATCTATTTACATTCCTTCAGTAATATATGACATTAAGGAATTCTCCACCATGCAATTGGCACGCTCAAGAGTGAGACCATGTGTGGCACCTTTGCTCTACCTCTTGGGCCATCCCCATCGCTTTGCAGCTGCTTCTGAAGGCCAATGCACGTTTGTGAATCTCCACACTCCCTCTTGTTCTCCACAGCTAGGCCAAGCAGCTGAAATTGTGGGGGCAGCCAAAAGCACAGAGTTTGCAGTTTACTGAGTCCTTGCAACAGCAGTAGTTACCACCAGTAGAAACTGCACTGGTGACACATCTTGTCTTGGTATGAGGCAAAAGGTGCAATTTCTCCAAGTGCATTATCTTAGCTGGGGAGGCCCTATATGTTGCAAGAAGCCTTCCAATGTGCTCTGTGGGTGCCTGTATATCACTGGTGGGATGGCCCTGGTATCCCTGCTGAACCCTAAGGGCAGCCTGAGCCCAGCCTGAGCTCAGAGAGTTTTAACATCCCCTCTGCTCTCTACAGCAGGAAACAACTTCACCCTCCTAGGGACCTCCGAGGCTTCCTTCGTGTTTCACCCTGGCACTGCAAAAGCAGCTAAATTGCTGGATGGAGATAGCACAGGACAACATGTGCTGGATGGTGCTTCTACACAAGGTTTGCTTCTAAGCAAGGAGATATGTGGCACAACACGAGATAGTGAGTAAAGGGCAGCTGGATCCTTTTACTATCATGAAGCAGCAAGAAAGAAGGAATTCAAGTAGAAGTGAAAAACACATTTCCAACCCAATCCTGTTCATAGACTTCCCTCCATGGGAGATTTCTGATCATGTCCATTATGGCATTCTCAGTTGTATGCAGATCTTTTCTCACCACCTGTCCCCCATCCCGTGTGTGAAGTGTATCAGCAATGACAAATGAATTATCTGGTCATTTTTCCTGTTTTTCTTTGTGGAGAACAGAAAATCGCATGGTATAAGTGAAAAAAACAATTTTTACAGTTGTTGTAAAATTCATTAAAGCAATGCTTCTTCACTGTACTTCAAACATGGTTCTCAGAGTTTATAAACAGCTTTTGTTATTAGTCAAATGAAATACTGTGCAGTAATACTT